TCATATTTTAAGAATGGATTTGGGAGGGGTCCGTGAATCCATATTTGATAAATCGTTACCAAAAATATGTTTCAAATTCATGCGAATATTATTGTTTTTTATATAGTGATTGCAAGTTCATTTATTCGTCGGTTCGCGGGTCAGAGCATCTCCAACAAATAACTTTTTTGTTATATTACGTAGTTCTTATTATAAAGTACTCCGTACCTATTATTTCTTTTATCTATGATGGTTTTTTGCATAGTTTTATTATAACTCATAATTTGAAAACTATAGATTAGAATTGGAATAAACTCATACTAGAAGTATTGTTCATAAGACGTGAAATAGGCTAGCGGGTCCGCTTTGTATGATGGTATTCCTCTTGTACATCGGGGCGCTACACAAGTACACAACATTTTATACTACTTGAAAATACTCTCAACTTTCTCTTTTCATCTGTCCCAAAAAGAACTTCATTTTCCCTTTTTGGCAAAGAATTTGTGATTCACAGTAATTTTTACACATTTCTCTCTCTTCTGCATAACTCTTCACCACACAAAACTCACTTTATTAATCCGTGTGTCATTTGTACTACGGAAGTAAATTATGGGACGGAGGGAGTATTAAATTTTCTAAGGATGAGTGGTCAAGGATTTTTTATTGGTGAAAGAAGGTTTGGTCCATTATATGAAAACATGTCATTTGGCCCAAATCTTATAAAGCGATAAAATAGTTTTGTATCTCACGACCAATTAAGAAGACTTTTACGCATACGATGTTGTTGTATATTATCACTAATAAATTCTTCATGCTTTTTGAAGTTATATGTGTATGTTGGATTAGACTTTATGTTAGTGTGAACTATGAAGCTATATGTCTTTGTAGTAGAGCACTCATGCTCAACCTTAGGTGTAAATGTTTTCGTATGTTATCACTAAATTAACGATGGTGTTTGAAGTTAAGTGTATCTTTGATTCCACTATGAGTGTGAATATATCTTTTTATTGGAATATTCAATCCTAGCATCGATAAAGTGTACAAGTGTCATGTTCGTAAAGTATGCAGTAATAAAGTATTATATTTGGAAGGTGCTGTAGTCCAATGGTGCAGTAATAAAACTTCAACTCTTCAACTGCCATTGACCGATTGACATCAATTAGTTCAAGGAAATTTAATTGCTCCACGTGTTTGTGTGTAAATATATATATATATATATATATATATATATATATATATATATATATATATATATATATATATAGGGGAGGGTTCCTGTGAGAAAGGAGTCTCAGGAGAGAAATGAGAATGAAATCCAACCACCAAATATATGAAATCAAAGGCTAAGATTGAATACAAATTAATTGTGGCACATGGTAATTATGTTGAAGTTTGAATGGCTATTAGTATTCTAAAAGGAACGATTTTAACTCTAAGGATACAAGTGTAAAAGTCATAACCATTTAATTTGGAAATATATAACCGTAGTTCAACTTTCTCATATAAATAGGATTTGAACATTAAATGCAATACATAAAGCCTATTGATTCGGACTATTTTTTCCTTTAATAGTTAATTTATTTAGGTTGTTACTTTAAATAATTAATACAATCCTCATATTCAACTAAATTTGTCAATTGTGTGGGTGCACTATTATTCATATTCTTTTGCACTTTGGAATTGTGAAGGTTGCAGTGATTATTTCCAAACAATAATTCATTCTAATTCTCTTAATAAATTTTATTTCGAAATTTTGTATTCTCTCACATAAAATTCGGATAATTACTTTGGTAAAGAAAATATACTAATTGTGCATTATTTTAAATATTTCATCAACTGAATCCACCAAGATTTGTCCATTTGCACTCCGATATTAAATTGATGCACTTTTATTAGAAATATTAGGCATCATCGATTTTATTATATATTTGAATATTTTAATTGCACCAATAGTAATTGAAAAATAAAATGCACTTTACACATACTATCGTGCATTTTCATACATCTTTCTAATCAAAATGAATTTAAAAAATGAAAATAAGTAGACACAAGTATGAAACATTCAAGGTTATACTATCATGTGCATTTAAGTATATACAAAAGTGCATAAGTATACAACACGATAAAATTTTACAATGATAATATTCTACCCAAAATGAAATGCACTTTAAACATGTGCACGTAAATATAAATAAAAGTGAATTGTCGTCTCACACTTTCGAAATTTTTACATAGACATTGTAGTGCAGTTATAATACTAAAGGTGCAATATTTATAATCACATTAATGCATTTTTTTAGTAAAGGACAGAGCATAATAATAAATGAAATTGCATTTAAAAATAAAGTAGAAGATATATATATTTAAACCTAAAGTAATGAAATGGTGGATATTTTATACAAAACAAGGAAAAGGGAAGTCTTCCTCTGTGATATCCAACTTCAGGATGATGAAAGTGTGAAAGAATCAAATGATGAGATAAAGAATTTTATTTTGACTGGCTGAAAAATAATTTGATAAAGACTCTTTTGGAACTATGAAGTAGCAAAAAACAAATCGGATGATTGGTCATCCATGATTATAGAGAGTCATGTATGGAAACAATTGAAAGATTAAATGGAAGTAACCGTATAAACTTTATTATGGTGCCAAATTCTCTTATTTGTCCTTAATGAAATATTAAAAGACTTCTATCTAGATCTAATGGCTATAAATCATTCTCATTTCTCTCCTAAGATGATATTCTCACCTGAAGCTAAATCTCTCTCTCTCTCTCTCTCTCTCTCTCTCTCTCTCTCTCTATATATATATATATATATATATATATATATATATATATATATATATATATATATATATATATACACACACACACACACACAAATAAATTCAACATAGTATGACAATCATAATACTCTTTACCTAAAGTCTAAACAATAGGAATAGAAACTTTGCTCGTCTAAAGGTAGTCACAGAATGTTTGTGTTGTTGAACGAGGTGGAGTTTTCCTTCATTTTTGCTTTTCTTATACTCCGTATATAATACTATTATTCCTGACCAATTGTTTATATTATGAATTTCATAAATATGTAAACTAGAGAGTATTTTCTACTCCTTGCCTCCTCTACAAGGTATTCTAATCAATGTTCAAATGAAATGTTGGAATAAAAAGGAACTATCATTATAAGAATATAACATGGCTTCTTTAATTTCTAAATAGAACTACTATAAGATTAAGATTAATGATGTTTTAATTTCTAAAATCGGAATATATATGTCATGATTACTTTCTCCATAATTCAATTATATTGAATTTTACAATATTAAATTCAATATATTGTATCCACTAGCAACTGATTGTTGGCCGTCGCGCTCGCTACTCGACACTTTTGGGACCAATATGGTTTATAAATTGGTAGTTTATGGTCAACTCTTGTCGGGAACCAAGATGGGAGTACAAGGATAACAATATTTGGCCTAATTTCATCACTTTATCATAAATCAGATTAGTAATACAATTTCTAACATGATGTACTTAGCGGAGTTCATCACAATCAAGAACCACAATGTGTTTTAAAATGACAAGTATAAGACGGGAAGAAACTCATTATAATGTTAGAAAGTTGTGTGATTTCAATATTGTGAAATTGTAGTCATTTCATTTCAATTTTGTGTTGTATTTTTTCCTGAAAAAAAAAGTGATCTATTTTTCAATAATTCTTCTAATGTACCCAAAATTTGTATACATTTCAAACAAAATTGTACGTGATTGTCTGCACACAGACAATGTTGCACGAGCTGTTTGTGTACACAGACAATTAAGGAATGTACAAATTATATTGTCTGTGTGCATAGACAACTACGTACAATGTGTGTGAAATGTGTACAAATTTTGTGTGCAGATAACTTTTTTCACTATTTTTTCCCAATTTAGGCTTCAGTTACGCTCGTAATAGCTAGGCACGTAAAGTCGCTACAGCACACTGCTACGGAAAATGAACAAATATCTAAAGAGAAGATTGGAGTATGTAAAAAAAACAGCAACTAAGACAAAGGTTCAAACTATATATATATTCAATTATAAAGCATCCATCAAGTATTTTTGAAGGAAGTAGTTGAATAAAATAAGTGGGCGTTGTGTCTCTATTTTTGCTTAGGCGGAAACCGGTGAAGTAGAAGGTAAAATGTTTGTGATAGCTTAGATGGAAAGGAATTGGTAGTTTTGTAATTAATTTGAAACTGTCCAATAAGGAAACTATTGCAACTAGGGGTGAACCCAGTTCAACCTGATCCAGGTCCGATACTGTTTGGGACAGTCCAGACCCATTTTTTCAATATCGGGTCAAAAGTGGGTACCCGACCGGGGTAAAAGGGTGCCCGATCCCGAGTTCCAATATTTGGGACCGAACAGGGAAATTCAATCCCGAATCGGTCAATCATTTTAAACTTCAAGCTGAATAAAAAAATACTATCTTCGTCCCGGTGGACTTTGCCAAGTGCAAAGTAGATGAGAAATAAGAATAGTAAAAACTGTGTGGTTGGTATTTGTGTAGATGAGAGAGAAATGTGCAGAACCACAAATTTGTTGCTCCAAAAGATAAGTGACAAAGTTTTTTGGGACAACCAAAAAGGGAAAGTTGGTAGAGTGCCAGAGTCCAATAGGACAAAGGAAGTACGTAGTATAATGAGTCAGGGACCACACCACCCAAGTACCCAAAACCGACCCAGACCCAGAAAATAGCGGGTCAGCCCCAAGCCTCTTGGAAAAATTGTTAGGATCAAGCAATCTCAGCCCCCAGAACCGGGACCAGACCGACTTGGATCCACCCCTAGTTGCAACTATTAAAAAACGAGGATGATATTATACAGGCAAGAACATTGTTTTTTGAGAGGAGGCAAGAACAATTTTATACACTCGTTCACTCTTTACTCCTACAAAACATATTAGACATGTCAAAAAACACATTTTGCATACGAGTATTGTCACTATTATGCAGTGAGCTCTAGCAGAACGGAAGGGGTTCTAAAAGACTCAAATGCTGACAACAAATACAAATTGGTAGGAGGAATGAATTCATCCATTCACATAACTCCGATAATTTTCTGTCGCTATAGACAAATTACAAAATTGAAATATTCCGAAAATAAATCTACTTAACTCGAGGCTTTAGTTAATGTAAACAAATTGAGTGGAACAGCCAGCCTAATATTGACATAGAATTATTATTGATATGAGACAACAAAGGTCAGGCAAATATCACCCAAAAGTGCAGTTATTGACTGGGAAAAAGACCGTTACAGGAAATATACAAATATGACTGGTATGCTCTGCGTTGTTAATGTTCAAGAGCACTTCTGATGGAAAGGGGAGGGTCCTGAACCATGCCTTTGGAAATGAGGTCATGGTTTAAGAATAAAACAATCACAGTTATATCATCATGAAAATGCCGTCTCACTTTTTTGTCTATCTTATGAAGATCTGAGTAGCGCATCTCTCTCTTTTTTGCAGCTTCTTGGAGAGCAGCCTTGATGAGCCGCTTTGCACTTCCCTGCATATGCAAGTCTCAAGCAAGTGATACTTCCAAAGTTATATTATCAAGGGCCCATTTGGAACCCTGAAAATACTAGGGAAAGTATATATGAAGAAAAGCGGTAAAATAAGTGATATGCTAAAAGCTTAAAACTTGGTTTGTTTAATTATATTATACTACATATGTTGGTAGTCATTATATTTATTTATAGCTATTATCGATTATATATAACGATTAAGAAATCTAAATATCTGTAACGTTAGAATAAAATCTAACCCCTTCCATCATTTGCAATGGAGCCAAAGATTCATTATTTTTTGGCTTGAGATTATGATGGAATAAAGCAAAATGACTCACTAAACTGTCTGCACTTCTTTGTTATGGAGCAGCAGTCGGTCCATGCAATTTTGGACGCGATTTTCATTATGGGTCATCCAGAAACAGTCTCTATGTGCTTTAGTACAGGGGTAAGACTGCGTACATCCGACCCCCTTACCCCACCGTAGGTGGGAGCCTTTGCGGCACTGGGGTAAATGAAAATGAAAATGATGTTAGAATAAAATCTAACCATACTCGTACTCCTGAATTTTTCATTGCAAAGCCAAACATTTGATTTTTTTTATTTTATCAGTTTCCTTTCCCAAACATTTTTTTTATCGTACAAACATACCCTAATGTAACATTCTCAACCTCCCCTACCACACCCAACCTCTGAGCCCTTCCACTGCTGCCCTGAGGCGGCGGATAAGAAAATGTAAAGTGCAGCTATATGTTAGGAAGGGGTGGATAGGAGATGGGCAGATAGCATTCACACTTCTTGGCTTCTTGCATAAGAAGACTCGTATAGAAATGATATGACATTTTAGCAATTGTAATTTAGTGATGATAGATACATATATTCACTACTAAAAAATTAAAGAGAATCTTAGACAATTTTACTTACATTGCGTGGATGGCGACTAACAATATCTACTGCCTTTTCGTTACTCAAGTGCTCCCATAAGCCATCAGAAGCAAATATGAGGAAAGAATCGTTAGGATGAAGAGGGTGAATTAAAATGGATGGGGTAGCAGACAGGATTGGCTCATTCATAGGTTCTGAAAGTCTGAACTTTGCACTTATAGGTTCCTGGTTAAATCGCTGATGTTTCAAATACAAATCACCAATAGATCTCGAGATCTGCATCAGTAGAAAACCCCGATCAGTTTGATCAAATAAGGTTACATGTGCAAAAGAAACTGCAATTCAGCAAAAATAACCATTTAAAAGTTTTATTAGACAAACATAGAGCTACAACATAGTAGCATGTCTGGTATAGCTTATACTAACTACTAAGTGTGTGACTGGTAGAGATTCTTTTAAAGCTTATAACTAATTAGAAATTCCAAATGTAGTACTAGTCCTTTTGGGTAAATAACATAATATCTTAAAATAAGCTCTTGAAATTGCCCATATGGCTATATCAGCAGTCGCAACAAAATAAGTTTGTCATTTGCATATAGCCATATATTAAGTGTGTGTCCGGTTGAGCTAATTTTGAATCACATGACTTATTTTAAGATCCAAACAAACTACTAGTCCTGCTGGTGAATAGAATAAAAATTAAAAATATGCTATTTTTTAAAAAAGCCGTCTCCTATAGCATTGCATAAATAAGCTCCAACATTTTTGTGCTTCAAAAAATAGCCTTATTCTTTTTCAAATTAACATGGAGTACCTTTTTACATACGGATAACCTTATTTTATTTTTACATAAGGGCTAATTTTAATACCAAATACTTCTGACACAATTTAGAGCTTGATTATCCAATGCACATTACAGGCTAATGTTTATACACCTATCATTAATACTCCGTACTATTTACAAGGAATGCATTTCTTGTCTTTTCACATAAAGGCTAATTTTACTATAAGAACGTCCTGATTAAGAAAAATTACCTGAATTATGCCTTTGACTCTCCAAACCCCGTGTTTTAGAACAACAATTTGGGAATCATTTGGATGTAACGCTTTCAGGTCCTGCCTAACAGCTGCCAGGTTAGCATTATGTTCCTCTGAGAGCTGTAGAGCAGCAGTTTCCCCAGTGCTCCCTACCTTCTTCCCAAGAACAAGACGAGAATCTCCAAGACTTGCCACGAAGAGAGTCTGCTGTGATATCACCCCAACTAGGCAACAAGTACCAACTGTTGCCAAATTGGGTTGAGAACTCCACGTGTCTGAAACAAGGGAAGTGAACCCTCTTTCTGTCTCCAAAAATGCCCTTTGGATTATATCAGCAGTCACAACACCGTTATTCTGCACTGATAGTGCTGCACACATTCAAAAAGTTAATGGATTAGCTTCATCCCATCTCTTTTATGATATGGATTAATAGGGAAGGTTAGTAATCCACGATTACAGCCAATCCATCAATTTATATTATATGGATGATTAGTAATCCATCCATTATTCTTTTTACATCATCTGATAGCATTTATTTTCTATTTACATCAGATTCATTGAATTACTTACAATGTTTTAATGATTTATTACTCTGTAAATTGATTGTTAGCCGACCCCAATATCTTTTAGGAATAAAGCTTGGATGTTGTTGTATTACTCTATAATTGATATTATATGTCGAAGTATCATTACATGCATTGCTCAATCATATCTACACGTGATAACTGACAAGTAATATGAAAATTGAAGGATTAGATATCCATCCATGGAAAATGTGTTAATGGATGGATCATGGATCATGATTGAATTTATTAAATGGGCCGTGGAGATGGTTTAAATTTTAATGACTCGTGGATGGATTGGATTTTTTTATATTATCTTTTTATAATAGCTTATCTTTTTTATCTTTATTTCCTTTCTTTTCCTTTTGGTGGTGATATCATGTATCGATTCATGTTAGACGATCTCAATATCTTTTGGGACTAAAGCTTGGATGTTGTTGTTGTGGATGGATTGGATTTTTTAAAGAAAAAAAACAAAGTAATGGATTTGTTGGACAGAATTTTCTTCTTTTAGGATTGTTTAAATCCATCCATTATAATTTTATAATCTAAAAAGAATTTCACAAATCATTCATTTGCCACCCATAGCAGAAAGTGCCTTTTACAGCATTATCTTCTCTCATTAAAGTTCAAGGAAATAATAAACTTTTTTAACAGTAGAATCTGCACGCTATGAAACTGGGCAGTTCACAAATAGCCACTATTGGCAAATGAGCGCAATTGAAGATTGTGAACAGTAACATCCTCCAACAATTTTGGGCTTGTCATTTACCATGGTAAACCAAAGGTTCTGTAATTATTGACATTCGCCAGAAATAGAGTAACACCCCGCACAGCTTTACCAGACAACTACACAGCATACACACATACCAATCAAAATGCACCAACCCAACAATCAATTTCCGGTCAGAAACCTAATTTCGGGATTCAGATTAAGAATGGCACTGACCGTATCAGACTATCGACACAATTTCCCCATTCAATCCGATACATAATCAATACATTGCCTCAATTAGAACAAAAGGAAAAGGAGCCCTAAAAGCGAACCTTGGAAGTGCCGGAACAAATTATCGCAGACGTATCGAGCAGCATCAGGCCCGCCGTGTCCATCGTAGACTCCAACCAAACTCCCGAACGGGCCGGACTCAACCTGGCTCTGATCCTCGAGGACCCGATTCGCCTGCACGACGGCCATCGAGAACTCCCCACTCCCGTACTTCCCGATGTCGTGGTACCATAACAGCCCATCTCTCGCAAAGGCGCCATTAGGGGAGCTATTGTAGCCGCTGCGGCCGCCGCCGTTACTATTAGCACTATCGGTATTACTGCTCCAGCACAGCGAGAGGAGATTCATGAAAGCACCGAGCATACCACATGGAGCTCCGAAGCGGAAAACCTAAAGTGAAATTGGGGTAGAACCAAAAGAACAATGCCGTGTGACTGTAATTACAATTATAATGCGGCGCGGATTATATATGAAAGCGGATAGATGGGAAGAGGTCAAAGGCAGAAGCAGAGATGGTGTTTTGGGTAAGGGGGGTGGAGGAGAAGGGGGTGTTGGGTGGAGGAGGAACAGGGCAGGAAGGTGTTCATTCCGTTCACAAAGGAAGACGAGGGTGAATGGGGGCACTTTGTCGGGTGTTGTTTTCAATCCCTCTCGATACGTTCCGGCTTATTGCTGCCTTACAACATTTGTATTTGTAGACCACCCCATCCAAATAAACGTTTTTCTTTCACAAAATTTTATGTTATGATATGTCATCATAATTATATAATCCTCCGTTTCACGATCTTTGAAACAATTTCTTTTTTGGCTGTTTCACAATCAATGACACATTTCCTTATTTCCTTATTTGGTAAACAAATTTTTATCAAAACAGTGCAAAACAGTGTCAAACAGTGTCAAACAATGTTCAAACAGTGTCAAACAGTGTTCAAACAGTGCCAAACAGTGTACTCTACAGTAAAATTTACACCTCGGTAACATTTTTTACAAATATTATAGGCTGAAAATTGTTCATTCATAATTTTACAAATTACAAATATTATATTTTACAAATGCACTCTTTATACATATTGATTGTGTATCTCTTATATCAATGTCAATGGATACCGCTAAGGTGGTTCAAAAAGAAGAAGAAGAAATACAATATAAAGTGGATGTAAAGACTACAAATATTTGTGAAAAGATATTTTTTGACTTTATTATAAGACAGTAAAATGAGAAGGTAATGATGATGACACATCGATGATTAAGGTTAACGAATTTCACCTAGATAAAATAAATAAAAAGGTAGATAAAGGATAAATGAAAAGAGGACGACACTTGGTAGATAAAGGATAAAGGGTGGTATTGAAGTTGTACTAAGTGAAGAATTAGATACACATTGACCCTTTGTGGTCATGACTCATGAACCACCTTGAGATTGTACCACTACAAGAGTCAAAGAGATACCCCATGATAAAGAGGTGGGAATTCAACAAACATAGTTTTGGTGGCATATTTTGTGTGTTTTGCTCTTTAGTTTTGTGACCTAGGTGAATTTTGTGTAATAAGTGCTTTTGAAGAATTTGATAAAGATAGAACTCTGAGGATTCACAAAGTCAATGGCTTTAGAGTGATTGTTTCATTCTTTGGTCGTAGAGCTATTGTGCAGAAGCTAAGGTTCGATGGTATGCCGGAATGGTCATCGCGGTTATTTCTCGTATTCTAATACGGAGTATATATTTTGTTTTAGAAAAACATTCTACGTGAAGACTTCGTACTCCCATCTATACTTTATTGTTGTGAAATATTTGGCACATTATGACTAAGCATTGCAAATTTTAGTTAGAATCTAATTAAAATGGTGTGAAAGTGTGAAAATTTTCAAACTATTAATTAAAAACTTTTTTAATCGAAAAGCAACTTAGGTGCTACTATTATTTTTGTTGAACTTATCACTCCATGCTATTCATTACTCCGTATTATTTACTACTATTATTTTAACATGGATATAATTATTTTAATGTGTTCTTTTTTGAATTTAAAGAAACATAACTTAAACATGCTCTTTTCTAATTATAGATAATAATTAGGAATTATTCCATTGAATTTTTCAAATTAGCCCATTTTATAAACTAAAGTTGATTAAGTCAATTGAATTTGTTCAAGTTGTTAAAATTATGGATGAATATATTGTATTAATTGAATTGTATAAAATGAAGTACCCAAAACATAAATTAGTGATAACTCAGAGAATACATTATTCTAAAGGAATTTTATAAATCCATGACTTGAAAGATGGATTCACTATCAATAAGAGAGCTAAAAATACAATGTGTTGATATATGCATTGATGTGGCAAGGATAAAAACAAGGCGGCAGTGATTTGGCGGTTATTGGACAATATTACATGCAAACTTAGAAGCAACCTTTGTTCCTAAAGTGAAACTGATCTCCTTTTAAATTGGTGTATTTAATTCGGTGTTTTAAAGTATGATGACCTAATTTGAGTGATTATGGTTTTAAGTTTAATGAGTCCAATATCACTAAGGAACCTGAAAAATCGATAAAGTGTGTTGGTACAGAACCCGAGTAATTAAAAATAGAGAAATGGTCTTAAATAAGAACAAAATTTTACTTATTGACCTGTATAGGACCACCTGCTTTTTAATACCTAAGTAGGACTAATTTTTTATTCAATATCAATTTTACCCCCTGATTTAGTTGTACGACCTTCGTTTCTCCTGAGACGCATATTCGCATATTCCCGTCGCTGGCCTTCTTTCTCCATTCTCTTGCCGCCTCATCTCTTCTGTGAGATAACTAGAAGCGCAGCAAGCTTCATCTCAATCCTCTTTGTTCTGGTGCGGAGCAGTCCACTAGTGACGGCGGCCACGACAGGAACACCGGCCAACCATTGCACCTTCGGACTTCTTGAGTTCTTCTGTACGGTGAAATAAAGAGTGGTGCGTCGGATTCATCTCTAAATCTTCAGTACAGATCTAATGAACATCCCTTGGAGCACCTCTCGGAGTATAATTTTCTGTTCATTCTAGATTTAGCCTTGTTTCATTTAGAGGATTGCCGTGCTTCAATTTGGATGTAATTGTAAGTGAGGAAGGTCACCAGAGATGGAGGCTGACGCCGCAAGCGATGAAGGTCACCGGAGATGGAGGCCGCCGCTGCAAGTGATGAAGGTCATCGGAGATGGAGGCCGCTGCTTCAACTGATGAAGGTCACCCGAGTGGAGGCCGCCGCTGCAAGTGATGATGGTCGCTGGAGATGCCTCTTGGTGGACTATCACAAATTCAAACATTCAATCTAGCTCGCCCTCTCCTTTCTCATTTTTTTATTATTATAATTTATTTTTTAAACTAAAACAATTTTTGTGTGAATGTTATGGATTTTCTCATATGTAGTAGTAATATAATTAATTTACAATTACTTGACATTCAACTTTAGTTGGCAATAATATCACCGTATTTTGCAATATTAGTGTGACATTATTTCAACGCTTTCTCCTACATCTTAGTACATAGTACCCCCTCAGTCCCATTTAAATCTTTACACTTTCTTTTTTAGGATGTCTCATTTACTTCTTTATGTTTCCTTTTTAGACAACTCATTTTATATTAAATGTCTTAACTGTCTTTCACTATCCAACCACTTTTTACATTTAAGTGAATATTATTAATTCCCCCCTAAAGTCAAAGGACATGCAAGATATTTGTTCTTTTATTAATTGAGCTCCTAAAATACCGTGTCAAAAGCAAATGTCAAGTTCTATACGAGACGGAGGGAGTAATATTTATCGTATTTTAATAAAATATACTGTGACAATATTTGTAATGACAATGTTTGATATAATGACAATATTTACAATTGTGTGATACTGATTAATTTAGCAATGTTTATAATGGCACTATTTAACATTGTGATATTATTCGACATTGTCATATAATGACATAAATTTTAAATAATGCTATTACATTACATTATCATATAATGACATTATATGCTACGCTGTCAACATTATGTAATTTTATGGCAATATCACTTCTTGAAAATGTCACAATGTTAATATTACAGTGCCACATGATAATGTCACAATATAAATTTAACAATGTCATTTTTTAATTATTGACATTGTCTTTGTCCTTGTCAAGACATTGACATCATTACAATGTTAGTTTTATGTCATTATCATTGTCATGACATTGCCACAATTGTAACATAACAATGCAAACAAGATAGACATTATCATGTTGTTAATGATAACAATTTTAATAAAATGTCTAGTGTATGATCATCATTGTCACATTTTTTCTTTTCCTTTTCACTTTCTCTTTTATTTTTATTTCGCACAATGATTGTCAATGACACATAATGACGGTCATTGACATCAACATGACATTGTCATTATTACAATGTCATTATCTTTAACATTGACTCTGACATTGTAATTATTTAACATTGTGACATTTCAATAAAGTAATTTTTTTACATTTTGACAATGTTTACAATATTGTGACAATGTTATATTGACAGTGTTTGACATAATGACACTTTTCTACAATTTGGCAATGACATTGTCGTGACAACATTGACATTGTCATTATTACAATGTTATTATTTATAGCATTGACATTGTCACTATTACAATGTTATTATTTATAACATTGTCATTGTCACATTTTACGACATTGTGATACTTTTTCCATGTAAAAATGGTTTGTACAATTGTCACAATTTTTTAATTTTAAAATATAATATTCACCATTATACTCCCTTCGTCCCATAAAATTTTTCTCACTTTCCTTTTTGGGTCGTCGCAAAAAATTCTTTTCACTTATCATTTTTGGACAATTTGTGTGGTACACATTCATTTCACCTTTTTCTTACACAACTACAATCACACATTTCCACTTTATTTCACTTTCTTAATCTCCGTGCCAAATCAAATTGAGAAGAATTTTCCGGGACGGAGGGAGTAAGTTAGCATCCCAGTAGGCGGTAAAAGAACTACGGAGTACGTACTACAGAAGGATTAGAAGGAAGACAGAGTTTGTCGACGAAGTCCGGAAAAAGAAGCGACCCAAACAGCCAGCAGCGGCCCCAGAAAATGAAGAACAAGAAGTGGATGAGGAGGAGGCTGCTCTCATCTACGGCCGCTCGAGTTACAGCTCACAATGGCGATAATTCCAGGCTTCCAGCGACAATTCCGGCGAGAACCAGCGGCAAACCGTCAGTGACATAGGGGCGGTGACTTGTAGCCAACGAGAATGAAATAAATCTGGTCGCCAGATGTCTCAGGTAGGTGCCAGCGCCCAAAACACAAAGTAAGAGAGCAGAGCATGCGACTAGTTCGAGACGGGAGAACACAATATGCGAGCAGAAACATGTTAGGGATATTTTTGTCCATTCACTTTAAAATTAGTGCTATTTAGGGTTTAAAAACTTGCAAGTCTTATTTACATTCACATCTATAGTTTTAGTCCTATTTAGGTTTATTGCTCATTAAAAATTATCAATCTAAGAGCTAAAATATCAGAGACTTTGATTTAGTTAATTTTTATGAATTCGTTTGCTAATTTTTTATCATATTTCTTCACAAAAGTTTATTGAATTACTAAGATTAAATGCTGGAACAATTAATCAATGGTATTTATACAGTGGAAAGAGCACGGGGATAAGCCAGTGGAAAGGCTGCATGCGTAAACAAGATCCCTATGATTTTTATGCACAACAAAGCTATCCTCAATTCCGGTTCTAGAATCTACAAAACAGTATCAGATATATTTAGGTCCAATTTTGATTTCACCAAAACAGATTGAAGTCAACCAATTCCGATGCTGCTGTTAAAAAATCAGATTGTAACATAGTAGAAACCAACGCGGGTTCATATCCAAAAGCATCAATTAAACTCAAACCGGTAGATGACTAGTATGACTGTTACCATTAAGATTTCTACCTTTGGATGATCGGACACGATCAATGTCACCCCTACTAGATTGAGATTCAATTGCTCAGAGCTAAAAGGATGTTAGTATAGTCTTTTATATGTCACTTAAAATCTTACAGAAAATTCAAATGAAATGACATAAGTACTACGGAGTATATGTTATTCTTCTATATATTACGTATATCACATTATCACACAACATTTTTTTTATTCATACACACTTGATCTCAAGCAAGCAACCACAAAAAAGTGCTACTGATTCCCAACTATAGGCCCATCCCGACCCCTTTTGAAATCATCCCACCCTCTCACCCATTCCTGTCCGGGAATGGCGTGAGTCTCAGGGGACGCGTGTTTGTCGAGGTTGTTTAGGACCTTTTCATGTACAGCAGTGAACACCTAGAGCCAAAATTTATTCAGTTAGGAACCGTTAGTGCAAAGACAAATCTGAATTTGGGATCCACTTTCTTACATGATTGGTTCTTATTGAATCTGGAGCTTGCTCCTGACCTGTCAACCACTTCCACAGATCTGGATTCTCCTGCAAGCAAGAGAATAAATAAACTCAAATAAATTACCCCCTTCGTCCCATTATAAGGTTCCCACTTTCCATTTTTAGACGTCTCATATAAAGGTTCTCATTTCCATTTTAGGAAACAATTAACAATCTTAAGTGACAAATTAATCATTATATATTAAAAATAATACATTTATAACATCACAGTTATCAATACTAACTACATTATAATATATACCTATTAAAATTATTTTTTAAGATATACTTGAAGTACTTTATTTAATTATTGTATAAATAACTGTGCCGTTTTGCTATGGGAACCTTCCAACGGGACGGAGGTAGTACTTCTTTTGTCAGTGAAGAAGATAGACTATTTAAGCCCATTTCGTTCAATCATCAAATGATAAGAACAAAATGGGAATAGCCCTCAAACTTATGCATACAAAGCTCATAAAATACCTCCTATTCTGACACGCTCAAGTGTGTGATTGTGTTATTCACATCCATCATAAAACATGCTCCCATGTCCCACTAACACTTCATCATTTTCCTTTTATAATGTGGTTTATAGTATTACTATTTGTTTTGCATAAACTCAACTACACAATTTTTACTTCTATAAAAATGTACCCAAAAATACAGACGTGACAATGATTAAATAGGGCCTCTCAACACAACCACGTCTATTAGACCTTGTCCAAAAGAAAAACTCAGATTTGTGCTGATCTTTATATGTATTGATAGGTTGGTTAGTCTGATAACTTTTAGAGGAGAGTTAATTGTTTTTTCGTATTAGACACTTAGATTTGTGCTGATCTCTATTAGACACTGTATGCGCTTCTTTGTTGTGAAAAAGGCAGTCGGTTCATGCAATTTTTAACGTGATTTTTACCATGATTCATCCGGAAACAGTCTCTTTGTGATATAGTACAGGGATAAGGTTGCGTACATCCGACCCCCTTACCCCACCATAGGTAGGAAACTTTGTGGCACCGGGGTAATGACGATGATGATGATGAAAGGTTGCTTAATTTATATTGTTTTTTAATAACATTTTAATAAACTTTTATTTTAAATCATTTATTGTTCTTCCATTATTGATCATTGTTTAATGAGTGTGAAGAGTTTCATTCACTATCTTGAGTAGTGGATAATGAGCATACTTATGTTTACCTATAAGTCTAGTTAGCTATTTGACTTGTGATTTCCGAAAGAAATCTCTATGATTTAAATTATGTGAAAACTCGTTTACAATAGTTTATTCGTACTGAGTTATTAAAAAGTTCTATAGTTCTTTACTCCTATTTTTATCCATTATAACCATGAAGTTGTTAGTTCAGAAATTCTTAGTACAGACCTTTTGGGCTAGTTTAGTTGGGGGTTTCGGGGGAGACGGAAGGGGAGGGTGATATTTTTTTAATTATACCTACATTTAGAATATTATAAATAAGAGAGATTTCCCTAAATGGGAGTAAAACAATGGGAAAATGCAAAACTAGGACCATCATGTTTTTTAGGATCTTTTTAGGACTAAAATATACTGGCTTGACAAAATTAACCCTTCATATAAAACTCCAGTTTCCGTAGGAAGCCGCTGAACCATCCGGATAGTCTCTTGCCGACCTCGACCGCCAAGCTCTCCATCGCAGGTAATTGATTCATATCTCTTCTTCTTCTTCTTCTTATTTTCTTCTTTTCTTCTTCTTCCTCCTTTTCTCATCTTCTTCCAGGTCTCCTGAATTTTAATTTTTTCAATTTCCTTCTTATCTCTTCTTCTTCTTCTTCTTTTCTTCCTTTTCTCATCTTCTTCTAGGTCCTCTATATTTTAATATATTTCTGGATTTAAATTTTAATTTATTTAGCAATTTTGAATCTCAGAATGCAGATTCCCAGAAAATGCCACTTTTTGAATATGAGAATGTCAAACTTATTGGTTATTTGAAAAAAATGTCACTTTTATGGCAGTATGCTTATAAAGATGGCAATCTCAGTTTGACATAAAATGACATTTTCGTATAAAAGATGACATTTTCTACTGTAAAAAGATGACATTTTCACATAAAAGATGACATTTTCTACTGTAAAAAGATGACATTTTTCACATTGATAGTTGTGACACTTTTATAGGAAATAATGCAATTATCCTATAAAAAGATGACATAAAAGTGGCATTCTCATATCCAAAAAGTGAAATTTTCAAATACATATTAGATATAAATGAATAAACAAATCAATTTTGGAACCTTGTTTTAATTTCTCATCCAAAATCTAAATCAAAATAATTTGTTTAAAATCTCAAAAGTAAGAAGTGTTAAAGTGAAAATCAAGAAAACTAAAATAGGCCAGAGTCGTACAGGAGAGAAGAGTGGAAGAGAAGAGAAGGGAAGGAGAAGAAGAGAAAAAGAGAAAGGAGTTGGAGAAAATTACCTGGCTTCATTGGAGTTTTGGGAGTGGAAATTAGGGATGCTTGCTACGCATCTCTTTTTCTTCATCGCAGATGAGATCGGAAATTAGGGATGCTTTCTACGCATCTCTGTTTCTTCATATTGGAGTCGGCGAATCCATGGTTTAATTAAAGGAAGGGCAAAAATGTAATCAGCAGTCCTATTTAGGGAATAATAGACTTCAAGTCCTATTTTGAAATTTTAACTATGTTTTAGTCCTATTTAGGACAATTTACCTATAAATAAAGTGAATATAAAAACCATATACAAATACACGGTCTAACTGATCATATAGTTATTTCTAGTCTAACAATAACAAATAGAGATAAATTAGTAAATACTTCACATAAATCTATTGTTTCCTCCCCTCCCATCCGAAATCCCCAAACCAAACAAGCCTTTAAGGTTCCACCCACCAAAAAATTGTCTTCCTTTGCCTCTTTACCTATTTCTCTTTTCATTGAGATCTTACTGTAAATGTTGATTCCAAAATTGGTAGTTGAATATGATCAGTTGATCACTAATACGAATCACATTTAGTGATACCGTTAGGCTGTTAGCTGTTCATTGTACTAAATATCAAGTAATAAGCAAGAACGAATCATGAAATACAGATACCATATCTGCTACAATGGGCTAAATGATAAATCTTTATGCAGATTGCAGAATATATCATAGGAAAAAGATGAACGAAACAGAAGGAAAGAAACAAAATTTACCGCATCAAGAACGTGAACAAGTGCCTTGATTCCATTTGCATCCATAGAATGTATATGATTCTCCACCCAATTACCCAGAATGAGGTCCAGCTCTAGGTACCCTCTCTGTTTGCTCCTATATACAAGCCTATAAACACGAGAATTAAAAAGCAATGATATAGTAATATTAAAAAATACGGAGTAAAATTTAAGATAAAAAAATTCTCCAAGGTAAGACACATGTTGAATAAGCGCCTTTTGGCCTCTTCGTCAGAGAGGTCGATATCAACGTTATAAGAGTATAAGCGCGATGTAGAACTCAAATACGGCCTGATAAAAATGGAAAGAATAAAAGAAGCGAATGATTATAAAGCTGAAATCGGGAGAAGCTATCAATCCTGTTGAGAAGAAAATTGGATTGGGTACCTGGAAAGACTGTGGGAGGAGATCGGATTGGTCCGGAAGGATGGACAGTTTCTGGCATTAGACATAAATCGAGGAAGGGATAAGAAAAGAGTAGACTTTCTGATGCCCGCCATGCTTTTTGTTTCCTTCCTCAGGGAGATCGAAGGTGCCGTTTGAAGCTCAGGGAAGCTGAGATTTTTGTAGTCGGAGTCCTCGCTGCGTGGCCTTTATTTATCCGCGCATCTAAATGAGCTATTCTGTGTGTATTTTATAAAGTAAGTAGTCTGGTCTGGTTGTGTTGAGATGCCTATTTAATCATTGTCACGTCTGTATTTTTGGGTACATTTTTATAGAAGTAAAAATTGTGTAGTTGAGTTTATTCAAAACAAAATAGTAATACTATAAACCACATTATAAAAGGAAAATGATGAAGTGTTACTGAGACATGGGAGCATGTTTTATGATGGATGTGAATAACACAATCACACACTTGAGCGTGTCAGAATAGGAGGAATTTTATGAGCTTTGTATGCATAAGTTTGAGGGCTATTCCCATTTTGTTCTTATCATTTGATGATTAAACGAAATGGGCTTAAATAGTCTATCTTCTTCACTGACAAAAGAAGTACTACCTCCGTCCCGTTGGAAGGTTCCCATAGCAAAACGGCACGGTTATTTAGATAATAATTAAATAAAGTACTTCAAGTATATCTTAAAAAATAATTTTAATAGGTATATATTATAATGTAGTTAGTATTGATAACTGTGATGTTATAAATGTATTATTTTTAATATATAATGATTAATTTGTCACTTAAGATTGTTAATTGTTTCCTAAAATGGAAATGGGAAACTTATAATGGGACGGAGGGGGTAATTTATTTGAGTTTATTTATTCTCTTACTTGCAGGAGAATCCAGATCTCTGGAAGTGGTTGACAGGTCCGGAGCAAGCTCCAGATGCAATAAGAACCAATCCTGTAAGAAAGCAGATCCCAAATTCAGATTTGTCTTTGCACTAACGGTTCCTAACTGAATAAATTTTGGCTCTAGGTGTTCACTGCTGTACATGAAAAGGTCCTAAACAACCTCGACAAACACGTGTCCCCTGAGACTCGTGCCACTCCCGGCCAGGAATGGGTGGGAGGGTGGGATGATTTCAAAAGAGGTCGGGATGGGCCTATAGCTGGGAATCAGTAGCACTTTTTCGTGGTTGCTTGCTTGAGATCAAGTGTGTATGAATAAAAATGTTGTGTGATAATGTGATATACGTAATATATAGAAGAATAACATATACTCCGTAGTACGTTTGTCATTCCATTTGAATTTTCTGTAAGATTTTAAGTGACATATAAAGAGTATACTAACATCGTTTTAGCTCTGAGCAATTGAATCTCAATCTAGTAGGGGTGACATTGATCGTGTCCGATCATCCAAAGGTAGAAATCTTAATGGTAACAGTCATACTAGTCATCTACCGGTTTGAGTTTAAATGATGCTTTTGGATATGAACCCGCGTTGGTTTCTACTATGTTACAATTTTAAAAATACGTTATGTCTGTACAGACATAAAAAAAACTTACACAGACATGTGTAAAAAGTGTGTACACAAAAAAGTGTGTACCTTTCAATGGGCAAAGAGTTGAAGAGGCCTTTTGGTTGTCTAATGGGCTACGTGGATTTACGGAATATGGATAGGTGGAATAACCCACCACACTAGTTGTCTAACTATTACTCTGTATGTAGTAAGATTTAGGGTCTGTTTGCTAACAGTTGTGACAGCTGAAACTGCTGAAGTTGCTGAAATGGCTGAAAATGCTGAAGTGAAAGTGTTGGGTAATGTCTTGGCTGAAGTGGCTGATTGAATGTATATTTACCAAAAAGGGTATTTGTCTTTGTATGTTAAATACATGTGAGTTAGCTTTGCTAGTAAATCTGTTTTACTAATATGAGTAAACTAATTTAAAAAATTACACTTTTTATTAACTATATTAAAAGCTCACATGTAAATAAATAAATAAATAAAAATGAGACATAAAACTAGAATATGGCAGGAACATATTAATTCATTTTGCTTGAATTACAGAATTGGCAGGAACTAACACTTCAAATGCATGGAAGCGATGAAACCAGTTTGTGTGCAGAAGATTATATAGAAACCATAGCCAAGATTACTTGTTCTTGCATTTTATCATCCTTCTTTAATATACATGACTACAACCAACTCACCCCCTCACCCCTTGTTCAGCCACAAAAAAATATAAGAATAAACAAGTCCACCCCTGATTTGGTTGAAGTTTTAACCAAGCAATGGACAAGGTGCTATACACTGTATGTTTAGTTTCACACCTTCACAGGAGTGTTAAAGAACACTAGCTACAGAGAAATCTGTGAGGTGTATTTGAAGGCTTCCATAGCTCTCGTTTAAATGAAAAATAACAAGATATGGAACAACTTAATTAATATAGAAATCAATATAAATTTCCTATCTAAATAATTATGTGTCAGATATTTATGATAAATTGGTTGCCTTTGTTTTGATAATTTTAGCTTCAGCTCTTTAAAAGCAGAATAGCTGACCAACGAGATGAACAACCAAACAGTTTGAAGAAAGGCGTTAAGGCAATCTGTGATTCCTGGATCAACCGACCAACTGAGACAGAACAATAAGAAGTAAATCTATTATCCTGTTTTGCCTACTAACCTTATTTTAATTGCTTTATGATATCAATTTACAGCAAGTATTTAAAATTCATAATTTTTAATATCAACAAAAATCACCAGTGAGCTAAAACTTGCAATAAATTCGAAATTCAGCATGTCTAAAATGTCCAAGCCACATACAAAACAAAATAAAAATTCATGGCAGATCATAAGACCAAATCGATCTACTTCGAACGATGACACCCAATGAAACCCCAAAGGATAGAAATTTCAGTCGGTAAACCTAAGAAAGTTTAGAAAGGAATGTTAATATTGAGATGAAGACGAAATCAATATTTACCTTTGGATGAATCAGGAACAGCCGAGCAAGATGAATCAACGCATCTGGGATGAAGTCATAGGAGGAATGTACGCATCTGGGAGCCGCAGGAAGCCTACTTGTGCAGTTGTGCGTAGAAGAGAATTAAAGGAGGACATACGTCAGGTTAACGAATTTAGCAAAAAAAAGGGTTGGACTGCTTTTTGAACTTATAATAAAAAGTTTAAATTACCCGTCTAAACCATTAATAAGTTCCGAATTTCATTTATGGTTCATCGTGATTTTTTTTTTCAATTTTAACTTTCCTCTTTTCAATAATAGGTTTTTTGTATTTCATCTTCCTAACCTCCAAATTCAAAACCACCGCATCCCCAAATCCAAATTCAAAGCAGTTCACGCAATATCGATGCTCAAGAGGACCTCTTCGCGAGGAAGCAACTTGATGACGGCTGCACTCTGTCGACTACCAGATCGAGAGACAGTCCGACCTCCTCATTGTAATCTTCCTCCACGGTGGTGTGAAGAAACAAAAGATTAAGCTCGTCGGATTGTAGTTCTACCAGGTTGACTGTTCTAACACCGACTCTGATGATTAAGTATCTCTTTGACGAAACCTTTACATTTTTCATTACTTTTACATCTCGATTTTTAAATTTGACTTTCTCTTATGATTTTGAATTGAGATGTGGTGGATTACCTTCCATCTAAGTTTCAATTGTGGTTTAGGCTATCATGTTGACTCAAGTGTTCTCAATTTTGATTTGCATGGATTTATATCCTGATCGAGGTGCTACTGTTTTTCTGAAATATAATTTCACAAATGATGTTTTTAAGTTTTAACTGCTGGGATGTTATCCTTCACAAAAATAACTGCTGGGATGTTACTCTTTGATTTTCATTTGTCCCATACATCACATTTTGGCTACTCACAATATGCCCGCTCTGGAGCCAGCTTTGCCGGTTCACCTTATAAGTTCCCTTCGAAGGATGATGACAGCCTAATAAGATGTATAAAGAAAATATATGAAGGAAAGTCACACTATGTGATAGATATATGTAATACATTGAAATACTAGATTGAACTACATAGTTGTTGTGATACTTTTATATATTGTTTTTTGTTGTTTTTTGTTGTATTGAATGTGTTGCTTTTTGTTGCATCTTGGTGTTTTTTGTTGCATCATGTTGCTATTTGTTGCACTGTGTTACTTATTTTTGTTTTGTTGTTGAATTGTTCTTGTTTTTTGTATATTTAGGTTTTTACTTATCGTTGATACTTCTCTAAAGTAAAAAATCATATATAGATTCATATTTAATCAGGTAAAATGATAAATTTGATTTTCTATATATAAACCAACCACAAGAAACATAAAGAAACGATAAAAAACAAAAAAAAAATCAGAGTTATCAACAAAAGGAAACAAGGAGAAACAATAGTCAACAAAAAGAAACAACAAATCTATTTATATTTTTTATTATTCATATTTTAAATTTTTAAAATTTTTCAACATTGAATTCTATTTTAATTTTTATTTTATTTTACACATTTTGAATTTTCGAGTTTTATATTTCTTATGCTTTTTAGTTTATTTATATTAATTTCTTTTTAATTTTTTAAACAATTTACTATTTATATTTTATTTTATAGCATTTAATTTGATTTTTAAACTATTTTTAAACATAAAGAAACAATAAAAAACAAAAAAATTCAGAGTTATCAACAAAAGGAAACAAGAAGAAACAATAGTCAAAAAAAAAGAAACAACAAATCTATTTATATTTTTTATTATTCATATTTTAAATTTTTAAAATTTGTCAACATTTAATTCCATTTTAATTTTTATTTTATTTTACACATTTTGAATTTTCAGTTTTATATTTATTATGGTTTTGAGTTTATTTATATTAATTTATTTTTAATTTTTTAAACAATTTACTATTTATATTTTATTTTATAGCATTTATTTTGATTTTTAAACTTTTTTCAAACTTATCAATTTATTTATTTTATTTTTTTACTTTGTATGTATATCGGTCTCTAAAATAATAACTGTTTCATAATAGTTTATAATTGCCTATGATAATTTGTAATATCTTCAAATATTTTATAATTTTCAAAAACCATTTTTTATAATCTTTTTTTTTATTTT